AGTTATTAGTGGAGGATTAATCATTTTGTTTTCCTTACGTTAGAAAGCAAAGATGGAGCTGAAGCAGAGGGCTCCTGCCTCCAAGAGGACCCTGGCAAAGCGACAGGTTGTTCTTGTTTTCTTCTTTTTTAAAGGCAATATAGGACTTGTTTAAAACTAAGAAGTTACACGAATATTGGTGGTGTTATTTATTCTCAAGTTGACTAAATTGTTTTGTTTTTTTAGGGGGAGGCAGCTCCCATGGTTGTGGAGGTGATTTTACGGCCACCTACCAGTAGAGGGACAGTTGCTGTGGAGCAGCAGGTCTGTGCTCTTTGTGTGAAGGATGTGCTTTCAGAGTGACATTTTAATGAATCATGCTAATTTATTGACATAGTTACTTTTGCTCATTGTTAAAATAAAATAGTTTCAGTTGTTAGCCTGCATGCAGTCAACGTTGTTTCAAGTGTACACAATCAATGACAAGAAACCTCTCTTTTGAGTTCCATTCAATATGTGTGTGGGTAAGTAGAAAAACAAAAGTTAATATATAACAATAATCATTTTGTATTAGTAATTGTATATCTTTCTATTATTTATTTAAACGTTTGTGAAACAATTTAAGACACATAGTGTTTTTAGCAGTTTTTTTATATATTAATTTTCTTCTAGGAGGAGCCATTGCCGGGGGTGGAGCCATTGCCAGGGGTGGAGCCATTGCCAGGAGTGGAGCCATTGCCAGGAGTGGAGTCATTGCCAGGGGTGGAGCCATTGCCAGGGGTGGAGCCATTGCCAGGGGTGGAGCCATTGCCCCGCGTAGAGCCATCACTGAGCGTGGAGCCATCATCCAGCAAGGAGCCATCACCCAGCGTGATAGTGGATGTTGATGATGACAACAGATGGAGAACAGCACCTCCTCATGGACTGCTACAGAGCCGAGGAGGTGTGGTCGCTCCTGCGGGGGATCGGTTTAGTATTCAATGTAAGATATGCCTCAATTATGTTTTGTATTCTAGATGAGGGGATGGGCATAAAGCAGAGGGAACTTTTTCAGATGATAATTTGTATCGCATGTATGAAAATGTGGAAAACAAGGTGTAAAATGATACTGAACTAGACAGTAATCGGCAGTAACACCATAGTGAAACAGATACTTACTGAACTAAGGAGAAAAAAGATCCTGGACAAATCCCAGACTCTGCCATGGGGCATCTTGAGTCTGTGACCTAACTGAGCCTCATAAGTAAAACGTGCTCTCCTTATGTTATTTATATATGTATACTTAGTGTGATGTGTGTATTATTGATGTAACTTGTATATAATGTACTGCCCTAATAATTTAAAATAAAGTTTTCAAAAAAAAGAAAAGAGAACAGGTAAGGGCTATGCTTGCATGTGTTCAGAAAAAGTGCAGTTGGCTGTTGTCGCAGGGACTGATGTGAGGTATGCATCCGTTTCTGACAATACAATATCTGTCGCATGTTCTATAGCGGCTGCGATCAAACATTTGATTGCGCCTGTGTGTTCGTGGAGCAGTACAGATATCGATGCCATACGTGTTGCAGGGTCAAAGCTTAACTCGTTTGTATTAGGGGAAGCCCATAAAATGAATGTAAAGCCAAATAACTTGTGCAGGTTGGTTGAGTAGACCAGTGTGTTTGGACGTAAGTGGAACGTCAATATGGGTCTGCCAGTGTACGGCGAATTGAATTTGTCTGAAGGGGAACAGGTATTGTCGGAGAAGCTGCTTGAACACTTATCCAGGGATGGCATGTGTCTGTTTAACCTAAATTCCGCAGCCAGTGCCATTATTAAACACAATGACTGTATTGTGGTCGTTGATTGTGGCACACGTGGTGCGTCTGGGTTAGCATCCAGTTTTGGCACATCTGTAGCCGTGTTCAACACATGCCCTAATGACCTGATGTTTTACATCAGGAATCTCAATAATTCATTGAATGCACAGAAGTTTAGCATTACAAGCCTTTCTGTGAAAGCAGCTGAAGTTAATTCGGAGACGGCTAGAGTCATTGATGGGGATATGGGGTGTGTCAGGGGAACATTCAGTCAGGGTGATCAACGCTTTAAATATGCAGGACTTCAGTGCATGGCTGTAAGTTTGGTAGGCATAGCAAAACACACAATTGACAGCGTGTTTACATGGCAGACCGACAACCTGGATAAAGTTGTTGTACTTGGTGACAATCTGTACACCTCCCTGCGTGACCAACAAGGTATCAGTGGAGGATACAGACTACTTTCGGTTCCAGATCTGCCCAAGGAGACCATTATCGACGGACAAAGATTTCTGTTTCAATACAGTGACTTTGTGTCTGGAGATGTGGATGTGGTTGAGGGTGATCTCATTGATGAGGGTGTGCACACCACTTTAAAATACGGACTGGAAAGGATGTATAGTAACTATGACACATGCTTTCTGACAATGAATGGCGGTACATGTGCCATCATTGGTCAAGGTGGACACTACGCAGTGGTCGACTCCTATGCACGCAGTGCGTCTGGGATGAGCGATGGCGAGGGGCGTAGTGTTGTTCTGTATTTCAGAGGCCTTGAACACGTGTTTCAATACATATGGACATTTGCAGCGTTCCTCAAGAAGTCTCAAAAACAGTTTGAGATCGCTGGTGTCCGAGTCACTCACATAGGCCCAATTGAAAGCAGTAATCTGTCTTTGGGTCCAAGAGTGACTCCCAAAACGACAGAGACTGATTTGGGTTGTAGTTCAGCTATTCAGTCCACACTTGGCTGCACCAACATTCAGATGGGTGCAAAGCGTAAGATTCGTAAGGGATCTTCTGCTTGCAAAAAATGTAAAAAGAGTGATGTTACCGCAGTTAATTCAGACGTTGCTTTTGTGAAAGAAGTAAGAAGTGGACGACTGCAGTTTAATCCTCTTAGTAATCAACTTGCACAAGCTCTTTGTGACCAGTTACATGTGCAGTCAGAAAGTAGATGTTGTGTCTACACAAATTGGTTTGATAGGGGCTCCATGTCTCAATGAAAAAATAGAGGGTGACGGAAACTGTTTCTTTAAGCAGTGAGTCAAGCTGTGTGTGGTACACAAAGGCATCACACAATAATTAGGCGTGCAGTGGTTCATCAAATGCAGAGCAATGCTGTGCCTTATGAGCGTATTTTGACCTCCTCCATGTCAGAATACCTCAGCACATCCAAAATGAGGTTGGCAGTTGGGCAACAGAATTAGAAATTCAAGCAGCAGCAGATGCGTTTGGAGTTAATATATTCACATATTGTGATCCACGCTGGCTAAAATATAGTTGCGAGAACGGGCAGTTGTCTAATCAGGGGGTTTATTTGGAAAACCGCAATGGTAACCATTATGAGACTGTTGTGTGTGTAAAACAACCTAATTTGCAGAGTTGTTATGGGTATTGCAAAGTGGACACTTCTTGTCCAAGACTGTACAATGTCAGACGGACAACTAGAGGCAAAAGGAGGGTTACCGAACAAACGCATGGTACATCGTCTGCTGGGGACACAGATTGTGTGGAAAAGAGTGATGTAAGTAAAATCACTCTTGAATTGAATCCTTTGTGCAATGAAGTGGCAAAAACACTTTGCACAAAGTTTAATATAGACTTTCAAAAGCAGGATGTACTGGGACCTACAGTAACTGGGTCCCTAGGTGTGGTCTGTAAGACCGAAAAAATAAAAGAGGACGCTAATAGTTTCTTCGGAGCGGTAGCTCATGTTCTCAGTGGTTCTCAGAAGAGCCATCGAAAGATTAGAATGACTGTTGTAAAGCATATGATGAATCACGCAGAACAAACTAAAGTAGTTGGGGGATCTGCTTCAATTTCAGACTACATTGAGAAGTCTCAGATGAAGTATGTAGGACATTGTGCCACAGATGTAGAAATCCAAGTGACAGCAAATGCTCTTGGAGTGGATATTTTTATCTGCAGTGGGGAAAAATGGCTCAAATACACTTGTAATTGTGCAATGCTTTCAAAAGAAAACATATACTTGAAACATTGTGATAAAAATCATTTTGAGCCAGTGGTTTGTATCAAACCTTACGATGAACAAAGGTGCTTTGAATTGTGTAAAGTGGGGGGTTTGTCAGAGACACGGTCTATGCGTAGCAGTGTTGATATCTGTACTGGGAAGGGTGGGGTTAAAGACAATGCAGAGAGTGTTGCAAACAGCTGGAGTCGTAGGCACTGTCGTTCAACATATTTAAAAAAGAGATACAGCTCAACAAAGAAACTGTATTATAAAAGTATAAAAGTAACACAGTGTACCAGCAAAGGATTAGGGATGCGTCCATGAAAAAGTATAGTGATGCAGATTATCAAGAGATAGTAAGAGTCGGTCGTAGAAAAAGCTATTGTGAGGATGATGATTTCAAAC